TAAGGGCCATCAGATAGCCGAATGAAAAATGGACGGTCCAAGTGAGGCAGCCGAATTGGCCAAAAAATGATAAAAATTTTTTGGTCATTGGTAGGCTGAACCAAACGTTCTAAGGCAACGGCCAGCTTTTCAAACACCTCTCTTTTCCCTTTTTTTTGTGACGACTTCTTGGCTCGCTTTTCGCAGGGCGGGTCATGGATAACTTTATCCTGAGCACCGGGTAACGTACATACTTATGTGCTTATGTACCCTGAAAATGAAAAATTAAATTGAATTACTCTTTTTCACATAAATTTTGATTACAGGCAGGTCGTTCATCTCCATAAAAGGCACCGGTAAGGGATAAGGATGCTCTCTTTTTTTCCGAACTGGGAACAGTAGCGCAATCCTGACAATTCGAAATATGCCACGAAGATACTGAGAGCATGCCTTCTGCATAACTTTCAGCACTGTTAATTAGTAGCAACAAGAAGTACTACTGCTATTGCTGAGAAGTTCAAGAGTTCGACTACGTCAGTGGAAAAGTAGCCAATCTATGATTCGATCATTTGTTAAGGGTGAGGAATCCGCTGATTAGTATGTTTTTCTTTTGCTTTTACTTTTTTTCTTGCTTTTACTCATAAGGTTTATATATATACACATATTTTTTCGATTTTGCTTTTATTCGCACCCCCAGGTTTGCTTTAATTTACTTTTTCTATAGTGCTCTGCTTTCTCTTTCATTTTACTACTGCCCGCAGTTCTTTCCTCGAGTTCCTGACCTGTATCCTCGTTCCTCATCTCTACCCTTTCTACAGAACCTTTTCTTCCCCGTCCCTATACTTTCTACAGACCAATCTAAATACCGTGTGGGAATGCTAGGCAACAAAAAATCAATGTTTCATCTTTCGGCTGCAAAGAGAAACAGAACGCAGCATCTGGGTAAAAATGGGAATTATCAATACAGCATAATTACGAAAAAATATTCCATCTCGCAAGCTAATTGCCTGGAAAATCGATGAAGGGAGACTTGCCTGAAGCTCGAAAATCCGCCACAGGAACAGTATGGCAAAGGCAATTGCAATTCCCCATCGAATCCAGCCATACGGCGTCAATCTGTCCAAGTAGTACTGGTATTTCTGAAACAGTAAAGTTCGTAAAAAACATTTCCATTAATTATAAACCCCGATATGATAAGATTCAAGGAGCAACAGAGGAGTCCTTCTCACCTTATTTTTCCTATCATCTCCCTCCT